TTGCCATACTTTAACTTAAGTGTGGATAAATCTTGTATATTCAGATGGAAAAACATTAGGAACTGTGCTAATGATGTAATATATACATCATTTAATTTTAAACATTCAAAATCCCTTGAGGAGAGTGGAAACTAGTTTCCCAAAGTCTGTGCTTTTAATTGAGTACAGGTTAACTGAGCTCAGCATTCCTGCAATCAGCCTAAGTATATTGTATGCTCTGTTTCATGTTTTCCCTGATTTTCAGAGATTATCTGTGCAAATGGAAAGGAACAGTACTTTAGATATTTGAAAGTAGCAAATGAGCCACTTTCCCAGTTCAGTCATGTAGTCTCACGGTTTGTGATGGGAAACAGATTTAGGTAGCCAGTGGCTACAGAAGGAAAAACTGCCATAAAAAGGTATCCATGTCTTCTGTTTTCCCCTAACGCTGTCCCTGGCATGTAGCTTGCTGTGAACTGGGCCATTTTGAGGGCCTAGGAATCATCTAGGTTCCTAAGAAAAACGTGTAATACACACGACTTAACATGTAATTAACAGTTTACTGTAGCTGGGATGATCAAATGTCTGGTAATCCAACCCATGAAATCGAATTAGATAACCTAGCAAGTGAATTCAGTTGCTTGGTGGATTTAGAATTTAACATGGAGCCAATCTAACAGAATTTGATACTTAACCTTGGAGCTTTGGTAATTTTAGTGTAAATTACTAACCCTGTAAAAGTGAAATGATGCCTCTTTTTTTTTTATATGGAGTAGAAGAAAATTGGTCTTCATTGTAAGTTTATTATAATTGTGGGCATTCATTTTGGTTTCCTTTTTCCAGCTTTACTGTCTGTCACAAGCCTCTGTTATGTCCTGTCAATCATCAGTGTTGGGCTGCTCTACACATACTACACCAAACCAGATGGCTGCACAGAAAATAAGTTCTTCATCAGTATTAATCTGATCCTTTGCATTGTGGTTTCTATTATATCAATCCACCCAAAAATTCAGGTATGATTGTTTTCTGCTGCTTCCTTCTGTTTTTATTTAATACTAAGCTTGAAATCTATATAACTTTTTTAATGAATTTATGTCTAAGTTTATTCACTTAAACATTTTTTCATACTATGATAAAGTCTTCATAATTATAATCCAATAAGGATACAATGTACATTGACTGCCAGTATCATAATTAAATGAATTTCCCTATTGTTAAAAAAACCTAGGTATCTCGAGAATCTAAATTTTATTTTTTTTTGGAGACAGAGTCTCAGTCTGTCACCTTGGGTAGAGTGCAATGGTATCATCATAGCTCACTGCAACCTCCAGCTCCTGCGCTGAAGTGATCCTCCTGCCTCAGCCTTGCGAGTAGGTGGCACTACAGGCGTGCGCCATGACTCCCGGCTAATTTTTCTATTTTTAGTAGAGACAGAGTCTCGCTCTTGCTCAGGCTGGTCTCAAACTCCTGAGCTCAAGCAGTCCTCCGGCCTCAGCCTCCTAGAGTGCTAGGATTACAGGGGCGAGCCACTGTGCCTGGCCTGAGAATTTTTCGTTCTTATAAAAGTGTTTTAATCATGGAAATGATTTTTATGGTTCATTAGCCAAGATACTTTGGGGGAATTAAGCTATGAAAAATAATTGATTTTAATATTTCAAAACAAAACTCATGCTTTTGAGTTTCATCTTTTAAATGTCATACTTTAAAAAATTCATGAAGTTTTAGATGTGAAATATGAAAAGAACATCTAGATATTGCCTCTCCTTTTAAAAGTGAAAAAACTGAAGCCTCAAAGAAGTGATGGGTTTCACCTAACTAATAATTAGTGTTAAAGCTGAGCTTAGACTAAAATCAAAGCCTTTGTGTGACACATAGGAATTTCTAGGATTATGAGATGCCTTGAGAACCAGTAGTACATGCTTTGTCTTTCTTGGTTTTTTTGCAAGCTAACTCAAACTGAAAGGTTACTTGTTATCTTATCTTTCAACTGATTTTCGGTTGCTGGCAGTTCAGTGAATCCCCAGGGAAGTGCACTGGGTTTTAGAAAGTCACGCCTTAGCAATCCCTGTGGCATTGTTTTCCTTTTGATTCCATAGGAACACCAACCTCGCTCCGGCCTCCTGCAGTCCTCTATAATCACCCTCTACACCATGTACCTCACCTGGTCAGCCATGTCCAATGAACCTGGTAAGGGAATGTCAATAGCACAGTCATTTGATGAAAGAAAAGTAGGAAGTTACCCCTTTGGTGGGTGAAGAAATGAGAGCTAGGGCAAATATAAAATTAAAAATCAAAACTTCATATAAACGTACAGTGTTCACTGTAGGTTTGCAGACGTTTGCCTTTTCACATTTTATGTCTATTCATAGGTACTCACAACTGACAACCTAAAGGGTCCCGCTGTCTTTTAGATCAGCAGTCCCCAACCTTTTTGGCACCAGGGATGGGTTTCATGGAAGATAATTTTTCCATGGACTGGGGATGCGGGGTGAGGGTGGCATGGAGCTTAGGTGGTCTTGCAAGGCCTGTTTCCTAACAGGCCACAGACTAGTAATGGGCAGCAGCCCTGTGGGTTGGGGACCACAGTTTTAGATAGTCTAAGCTTTACCAAACCTGGACTGAATCAGTCTAGTTAAGAGCTCTGGACAAGGGCAGCCTTGTTTTGGCCTTTTGTAAAATTGTTTCAATTGAATTTTACTTTGGCGTCACAGGTTGTAGAAAAAAACATCTGTAGGAAATCTCCTTTTGTAGTTATTACAGGATTATTTTTCAATAGGATAAAAGCCCATTCTATGGGCTTCTTTTAAAGGAAAACAATTATTGCATACCCCCTCCCCAATAATAACTTTCTTTTTTATTCTTAAGTAACTAGGTAAACGTAAAAGCAGGGATAAACTTCTGTACTTAAAGCCTTGACATTATAGAACGAAAAAGATTTGTCAATTAAACTATAAAACCAATAAAATCAAGAGAGACATTTATGAAATTTGACAGATACCGTTGTTTTGTTTCTTTTTTTCCTAATACTAAGTCCCTGGTTGTGATGCAAATATGTTACTGCTGAGTTTCAGATTCTTTAAATATGGCATCCCCATGTTTTTTTATATCATGACTGAATGATGTGTAAGCAACTCCTCAAGCCCTTTCTTGGAAGGATAATAAAACATATCCCATTTTCAGATCGTTCCTGCAACCCCAGCCTGCTGAGCATCATTACACACATAACTGCACCAACTTTGGCTCCTGGAAATTCCACTGCTCCGGCCCCTACCTCTGCTCCACCATCAAAGAGTGGGCCTTTTCTGGATTCAGAGAATATCATTGGTCTGCTGGTCTTTGTTATCTGCCTTTTGTATTCTAGGTAAGTTAAAAGGTACTTAGGACAAGATTCCTGTGGAGAATGATAATAAAGGAAGCTATTTTGCCTTCAAAAAGCAGTGTGAAAAACAAAAAAAAAATTAGCTGTCTTTAATGAAAAGTCTTTTACTCTGGTTATAGAGCTGTGTACAGTTCTTAAAAGTTCACTAAATCCTCTCATCAAATAATTTCTTTCAGTCTTACAAAGAGATATTTTTTCCTCCATATTTGTTCTGTTTCAAGATTGTTTTGTCTATTCCGGGTCCTTTGCATTTCATGTGAATTTGGATCAGTTTGTTAATTTCTGTCAAAAAAAGAAAGTCGCTGGGATTTTGATAGGGATCATGTTGAATCTGTAGATCAATTTGGGGAATATTGCCATCTCAACAATATTAAGGCTTACAGTCTATGAACATGAAGATGTCTTTCTTTACTTAGACCATTTATTCAGATCTTTAATTTCCTTCAGTGGTTTACAGTTAGCATTGTACCTGTCTTAAACTTCTTTTGTTAAATTTCTGTTGTATTCTTTTTGATGCTATTGTAAATGAAATTGTTAATTTAACTTTTGGGTTGTTTATTGCTAGTGTATAGAAATACAATTCATTTTTGTATATTGATCTTGTATCCTGCAACCTTGCTGAACTTGTTTATTGGGTCTAATAATTTGAGTGTGTGTATTCCATAGGATTTTCTAGATACAAGATCAAGGCATCTGCAAATAGAGATAATTTTACTTCTTTTCCAATCTGGACATAGATACCTTTTATCTATTTTTCGTGCTTAATTGCTCTGGCTAGAACATCTAGTATAGTGTTGAATAGAAATGGTGAGAATGGGACCCTTATCTTGTTCCTGATCTTAGGGAGAAAGCTTTTAGTTTTTCACCATTGAGTATGATGTTAGCTCTAGGTTTTTCATTGATGCCTTTTATCGGTTTGAGGACATTCTCCTCTATTTCTGCTTTGGGTATTTTTATCATGAAAGGGTATTAGATTTTGTCAGGTGCTTTTTTCTATGTCTGTTGAAATAATCATGTGGTTTTTGTCTTTTATTTGTATGTACTTTTTTATTCAGTCATTTAAACTTTCAGTGAGCATCTGTGGTGCTGGAAACACATAGATGACTAAGGTTATTGTCAAGGAGTTCTTTGAATAGCAAGAAGGACAGGAATGGTAAGTGCAGTGGCAGAAGGAAGCTTAGGGAGCTGTGGGAAGTCAGAGGAATGTCTTCTAACCTAGCCTAGTGACAGGTGGTGTCAGGGGAAGACTTTCCAGAGGATGTGGCACAAGTCAGAGAAGTGAAGGATGAGTAAATTAGCTGGGAGGAGTTTGGTGGGTGGTACATTCCAAGCATAGCAGTCACTTACGAAGCCATGGAAGGAGACACTGAGAGCAGAATGTTTTATTACACTCCTAAGCAATTAAGCCATCAAGTAGTAACTAATGAAAGTACTATCAGGGTTATAACGACAGGTAACAGTTCAGAACTTGAAGCAGGGCCTTCAGCAGGCGTTCAGTCTCCAAAGTAGGAACAGCTCAGAGATAACCTCCATGTGTACAGGCCAGTGGCAGCAGTTTGTCTTCATGGCTCCTTTCTGATTTGTCTTCCTTGGGATCACTTTCCAGCATCCGCAATTCCAGCAATAGCCAAGTAGACAAGCTGACCCTGTCAGGGAGTGACAGTGTGATCCTTGGTGATACAACTACCAATGGTGGCAGCGATGAAGAAGATGGGCAGCCTCGGCGGGCTGTGGACAACGAAAAAGAGGGAGTACAGTACAGCTACTCCTTCTTCCACTTAATGCTCTGCTTGGCTTCCTTGTACATCATGATGACCCTAACCAGCTGGTACAGGTAGGAGGCACAGACAAAACAGGAAAGACCACGTAGCCTCTTGGATGGGCTATAAAATGTCCATCTATTGTCCTAACCTCAGAACTCCTCTTACCCATATAATGAAGTTACGTTCAGTGCTGACTCCTTTCTGAAATACTTTGGACTTTTTCTCCCCTAGCGTTTAAAACCTATTGGAATTCTTTGCAGTGCACATCCTCAGGAGCTCTTCCAGACTTGAGTTAATTGAGAGAGATAATGATGACATAAAGCACTCTGACCCATCTTTGTTCACTAATTTTCTGTATCTAGAGATGGTTCAAGTAATGTGCTAAGGAAGGAACGTTTCAGGGAGGCCATCTCAATCTAGACTTTTAACAGTAACTAGAATAGCCAGATGTTTCTGAAGAACCTTGCCCAGATAGTCAGGGTCTTTTCCTGCTGACGAGAAGAAAAAAGCCATTTGAGAGGCAGAGTCTCTTGCTCTTAAGAGCTAAAAACAGCTTCCTGAAGTCCCCTCTAGAACCTTACTGGGAGGTTAGTGCCAACCATATTTCACTGGAGAATTTCTTGGCCTTGGCAGGGGGGCTGTGAGATGCTGATATCAGGCTCCTTTATGTGACTCTCCTGTTTTCTTAGCCCTGATGCAAAGTTCCAGAACATGACCAGCAAGTGGCCAGCTGTCTGGGTGAAGATCAGCTCCAGCTGGGTCTGCCTCCTCCTCTACGTCTGGACCCTTGTGGCTCCTCTTGTCCTTACTAATCGGGACTTCAGCTGAACTTCTGAGTGCCAAGGATGCCACTGAAATTCATAAAGATCTCCTTTGCTGAAAACTCATATCTCTTTTAGGTTTGCTTCAACTAAAATATTAAGTGAACGCTTTGCAAATTTGACTATATCCAGGTTTATAGCAGAAAGGCAAGATCAAATAATGCTTGATGCAGAATCTGAACTTTCCATTTATCTATATATTAATATTATGTTTATTTGTAAGGATATAGCACAAAGGGAACGTTTTTGTGTTTAAAGTGAACTTACAGCTGTGCTGTGAAGAGAGTTCTTTATAAAGATTGATATGCTCCTAGATCTTTGATTTAAAATATAAGATAGAAAAATGTTGGATATTTGAGGCCATCATTAATATATTTCTATTGCAGTATCCTTAAAAAGCAAAAAAGAAAAAAAAAACATTTATATGACAGTTTTCCTCTGTGAAAGTCCTTACTAGTGTGATACAAGCACTCTGTTCCATGCTTAAACTTTCTCGAGGTGTAGCATCATAGTTCTTGGGGAATTATGTATGTGGGTCCTTCCCAGAAGAGTGGTTGCTGATATGGCTACTGCTTCTACATCTTGAGTTTTTTAATTTACTTTTTTTATACTATAGCATTGATGCTGCTTGATTCAAGTGCGGTGCTTTGCCAGGTATGTTAATTTTAATAAATGCTTTGTGGATTTCGTTAAAGTGAACATTCACTTGGGAAAACACTGCAAACTTTAGTCTGTGTAATTATCTCGTGATGAGTATGTAAAAGTAAAATGCATGTGAATTTGTTATATTTGCACTATAAAAGTATTTGATTAAACTAGAACAACTTTAAGATTTTAAGGCCCTTTCTTTAACAGCTTTTATGAGTTAGCCATTTTTTATTTTTTGGACAGTCAGGTTCATCAAGCATCTGGGCGGGATGCTCCTATTCCTTCTAAAACATACGGTCTGACTGGTGAGCAAAATCTTGAACTCATTGAGAAATTGTCATAAATATCTTCTCTGAGTAAGACACTTTGGTAGATGAGAGACAAGTAAGGCACTGTCAAGAAATGTTTTCACAAGAAGGCAGCATGTAAAAAGGTAGAATAAAACTGTTTGTTTTTTCAACAAAGATTCACTGTCTGTTCTGCACCAGGCCCTGTAGGTTTTGGAGGACAACCTTAAACATGTTAGAGGCTCTGCCATCTTGGACTTACAGCTTAAGAGGAGAGCGCAAATGAGCTGACAAGTTGTTGTAATGTGGTGAATTAGTGCTGTGATTTAGGAATTGCACAGAACTCAGAGGAGAGGTACCAGGGGTAAAGGGTGTCGTGGTAGGCTTCCTGGGGGAAGTGACGTCTAAGCCAAGAACTGTTAGGCGTTAGCTAAGAGGGAAATGGGCAAGTGGTATGACATTGTTAAAGAGTCGACAAAACTGCATATTAAAGGCGGGGAGATAGAAAAAAATTGTTCAGTAAAGCTAGAATGGGGGAAAGTAGAGATTGAGTTATGAAGGGCTTTATAAACCCCACTGAAGAGTTTGGACCTTATTATGTTGAGGGTAGCAGAAAGCACATCTTAGTGCTACGATGAAATTTTATCTTCAGTCACTTTGGCTGATGTATAGAGAATGGATTTAGAGAGATGAGACCAGGGCCAGTCCATGTGAGATTTGAAATAGAGAAGTGGAAGTGAGGATGGGGAGAAATTAACAGCTCAGAGCTACTTAGCAATTAGAATTTGAACATTGGCAATTAATTAGATACGGGGGAGAGGTAGATTTCTGAGTGAGTCTGGTTTAATCATCTGGGTGGGTGGTGGTTCCATTTATTCAGGTGGGAAACAGGAAGAGGAACCGGTATGAGAAGAATGGAGATAGGTGGTCCCTCAAGAATAGGCTTGGGAGTCAGATTGTTTGAGTCTGCATTCCAGCTTTGTCATTTTCTAGCTGTCAAACTGATGAGCTAATATTTATTGAGTACATACTATGCTTTAGGAAGTTAAGCCAATGTCTTTACCCCTCTGAGCCTCAGTTTTAGTACCTTAGTACATAAGATTGTTTAAAGTCATTTTGCAAAGTGCTTAACCCATTTTAAGCACTCCGACAGTAGCTGCTAATCTCAATGTGGGCTATAATGAGACAGGATGATATTCAAAGTTTAGAGATGTTCAGCCAGAATCTGATGGAGGCAGGATTTGAGGTGTTCTCACAAAATTGAACAGGTGAACATAGAGGGCACGGGCTCAGGTGCAGTGGAGGCAGCGGGTAGGGAAGCAGAGATTGGTATGAATTGTTGGAACCACTGTCTTTTAAACCAATGGTTTACGTCAAGGTATGAAGAAAAAATTGCAAGGGATTTGAGGAATAAATAGGAAGAGTTAGCCCCTGCTTCACCAGTGTAAATCAGATACCCTACTTTCCTTAACAGCAGGAGAGCCAGATTAAGAGCTTTAGAGGTCCTAAACTTCTAAAACATTAGTGTCCCCACCCATCCTCCGCCTAATGTAATTCAAAATAAAAGCAATACTAAACTGTAAAATAAGTGTAACAAAGTCCAATAAAATTTTTACTTTTTATCATGATAACTTTGATATTGATTTGAAGTAAAAAGTTCTCTTTAAAAATTGGGGGGCAGTGTCCCTACTTTCCTTGGTCATACCTTAAGAATGAGTTACATCTGCCTGTTAACAGGAAACCCAGTAGTTTGCTCAAGTGAATTATACACGTGAATGCTGAATTACATACAAGCATAAATAATGACAACGTTTTGAGTAAGCCCAAGATCATAATTTAAAGCACAGGAGTATTTTGACTCATAAGATCTCATGGTAGCATCTCATTCCAGGTGAGTAACTTGGTGTTTCATCACTATGAACAGGCTTGTCTGGTTCCCCAGGACTGCAGTTTGAGGACCGTGGCTTTGAGGTCGGGCCATGCTTTAGGAATTCATGAAAGGCAACAGCAGTGGCTTCCATTTTTACCTGGTTACAGCTGGGAGAAAGCTTGTAGGCTCATGCTGGATTCATTTACTTTCTAAGTTGGTCTTGCAAGATACTTGCTGGGAGATAAAACTTTCTCTTGATAATCAAAGAGACTCCCAAAGAGTGGCCATGGACCGGGTTATCGATGTAGGCTTTTTTGAGGGGGGTTGGGGGTGTTAGTGTTAATCAAGTGAAGCAGTGCAAGTGGAGAAGGAGCAAAGAAATCTGTAACTGGTCGTGGTCAATTAGTTGTTTACACCACTGCACTTGGACCAGCCTGGTATAGCTTTTGATTTTCTGAACCAAACCATAACTCAGGTCTAATTTAAACCAGGACAGCTTTTTTGTCCATTATAAGTCCTTGCTTGATTGTACAGCTAAAATGAGTATTCACACAGTGAGTCACACATTTGATCTCTGCAGACTGATAGCAGGTAATAGGCTTATGCTTATTAATAGGAGCTGCTATTCATCTCTTTACTCCTGTTGTGTTGGTCTGTCCACCCTGTTAGCTAGGCACCCAGATCAGTCAGCCTACTCAGCGATGTCTTGGTTACTGCTGGGTGACTCAAGCACACGATGCCTATGTCCTTGGGTAAAGAATAATAGTAAATACCACATAAATAGCTATGTGTACCAAGCAGTGAACAGATACTGGCTACACCCCTGTACAGTGGTGATTATTCCCTCCCTTCCGCCCCCCCCCCTTACAGATAAAATTGAGGCTTGGAGAAGTTTATGACTTGCCCTTGGTTACTCAGAGGCGAGACAGAGAAACCAACCCAGGGCTTGACTTAAGAGTTTTTGTTTTGTTTTGTTTTGAGACAGAGTCTCGCTCTGTAGCCCCAGGCTAGAGTGCAGTGGCATCATCGTAGTTCACTGCAACCTCCAACTCCTGGGCTCAAGCGATCCTCCTGCCTCAGCTTCCCAAGTAACTGGGACTACAGACACGTGCCACCGATGTCTGGCTAATTTTTCTATTTTTAGTAGAGATGGGGTCTTGCTCTTGCTCAGGCTGGTCTTGAACTGTGGAACTTTTGCTGCCATCGATTGTCTAAGGGTACCATGTAAGGAATGGGCATTGAGAAAGTGCTGACTCATGACACAGAAATGTTCCTCCAGTGATCCTTGTGACACTGCTGTGAGATAAAAAGGATTGGAGCAGTTAGCTCCATTTTTCCAGATGTGACAGACTGAGCTTAAGTTTCACAACTTCCTCAGGAAATGCTGACCTGAATTGCTGGTATGCTGCAATGTAAGTGCCTAACCTTTTGCATCATCAAAAGCGTACATCCTGTGGCAGAGTATTTCTCAACTGACTCATCAGTGACACACCAGACCTACCATGGGGACCTAGCTTTTGTCTACTCTGGGGCAGAGTGTATGCTCTTCTGTAAAAACAAACGGGGCATGTGGATAAACAGCATGGCATGCATGGGACCAGAGTTGGTCGAGCTACACCCCGGTTACCCATCAGGGAGTCTGGGCTTGTTCACAGGTACTTCTGGAATAAAATGTTCAATTACAACTTGGGTCTCAGAGGTTAAGGATAGCTGCTTTATATTTTCAAGAAGCCAGAAAACAAGCTAATTTCTGGTACTTTCTTGCTCTATAAAAAAGCCCTACCTTTTTTCTGTGTATGTTCTGTCTGGGGGTTGGTTATTCGACTATAAGAATAAAAGATGTGCACAACCTAGCTCCAGCCATCAGGAGGAAATAGTGGGCTCCAATCAGGCTGTCTGGTTTTGAATCCCATCTCCACTATTTGCCTAGCTGTGGGCAAGCTACTTTTCTGTGTCTCATTTTTCCCACAGGGACATACTACTACTTCATTAAGGGTATCTGAAGGTTAAATGAGATTATGTATGAGCAACACTCAACATGTGTGTCCAGCCCACATGAGCACTCAGGAAATTGTTAGCTGTCATTGGAAAGATTCAAGGCCAGTCCAAGAAGTATAGCTGGGCCTCAAGAACTGAAAAATGTGCCTGTCACTCCTGTCACTGTTTGTAGCTAGTTTCATTCTCCTTTCTACTTACTGGTGTAATCTAATTGCACCTGGTCTTTGGAGGCAGCCAGCCCAACATCTACAACAGCAGTTCCCAACCTTTTTGGCACCAGGGACTGGTTTCAAGGAAGACAGTTTTTCCACGGGGGAAGGGGAGATGGTTTGGGGATGATTCAAGAGCATTACATTTATTGCGCAAACGTCTCTGCTAATGATAATCTGTATTTGCAACTGCTCCCTGGCACTAGCATCACTGCCTCAGTCCACCTCAGATCATCAGGTATTACATTCTCATTAGGAGCCTGCAACCTAGATCCTTCACGTGCGCAGTTTACAGTGGGGTTTGCACCCCTATGAGAATCTAATGCAACTGCTGATCTGACAGGAGGTGGAGCTCAGGCAGTGATGCTAGCGATGGGGAGCGCCTTTAAATACAGATGAAGCTTTGCTCGCTCACTGGCTGCTCACAGCCTGCTATGTGGCCCAGTTCCTAACAGGCCACAGACTGGTTCTGGTCCACGGTCCAGGAGTTGGAGACCGCAGATCTACAGAATACACTTTGCTGCTACGTTGCCCCTCCCTACCTCCCCTGGAGAGGAGGCTCTGTCTGCCAGGGCCTGTGAATAATAAACCTCAGAACCTTTATCCAAACTGTCATTGTCACAAAAGAACTCCACACATATTTAACCTTACAAGGGTTTTTATTAAGACCCAGTAGTCATGCATACTAAAATTACATATTTTCACCACTTTGACTTAGAAAATGCACTAGAAAAATAAACTTTTGGTCAAAACAAACACTGAAGTACATGAATCCACCACCATGTGTCCCTACACTCAGAGCCAAACTGAATTTCA